CCAAATTATACTTGAACTCAACTTCTTTTGACTTAATTAATAGATTAGAACTAGGTTTCCTTTTGAATAATTTCCCGTCCTTATATAGAGATGCGACCCACATCTCTTCTCTTCAAAACATCAAACATCAATTTTCATACTTCGATCTGAATATTCCTCACCAAACTTCATCAATCTCTCTATTATTTTATCTCCGATGGCCATGTCTACAACTCAAGCTCGCCGAAATCTTGTCTCGGTCCCTTTTTACAACGAATGCATCCACGTAACAGTAACGGGAAGAGGCCCGACAAGTACATGAATGGATGCTTTCGATATGCAGTATTCACATCGATTTCTCGAAGAATCTTTTAATAGGTCTTGATACCGAGTGGCTGCCAAATCTAAACCCAGGCGAAAACCACCCTATCGCTATACTCCAACTCAGCATCGGCAACCGGTGCCTCATCTTTCAACTTCTTCACGCAGATATTATTCCGGTTTCGCTCCACGCCTTTTTAGCCGATCCTCGCCACACGTTTTGTGGGGTCGGTATCAAAGATGACGTGGACAAATTATACGATCATCACAAATTACGCGTGAGAAAAATCGCGGACCTGAACGATCTTGCAAGACTGGCGACGATCAACAGCCAAAGTGGAAACGGAGGGTACAAATACATGGGATTGAAGAAGATGGCGTATGCGGTTCTTGGAAAGAAGATGGAGAAGCCATTGAACGTGACGCTCAGTAAGTGGGACACTGTGGAGCTCGATCGTGATCAAATTGAATATGCAGCCATTGATGCGGTAGTTTCTTACCAACTTGGTTATACACTGTGCTCGCCGATTTATCGTCCGCAGCCAGGCTCTGTCGTAGTTGGACGACCTGGATTGTTATTAGTTTAGGGGACAATTTTGGATGTTCTTCATGTTGTGTATATTATATATATTTTCTCTTTCCTTGCTAATTGCTAAATAAGAAAAGGGATCGAATTTATGTTGTTCTTTAAATTTTTTTTTTTATCAATGTTTTGGTATTGTACTTGGTCAGGTTTAAAAATTCAGTTTATTTTAAGGCTCGCAGACACATGAAAAATTAATTTGACATAGCAGATTAAGAGTGGTTTCCTAAATAAAAAACAATATATATATATATATATATATATATATATATATATATATATATATATATATATATATATATATATATATATATATAGATTAATAAACGTTATAATAAATATATATTTGATTAGTTATAAAGAAGTGTGGGATAGTAGCGTTGTCGCCTTGGCA